TGGATAATTGGATTATCTTACAAACACGCTTTACTTAGTTCAATTGGATTTTTTTTTGTTCATTAGGTATGAGATGTGTTTCACATACCTTACAACTGGCAGTCATTGATTGTTTAAAAGAAGCCAGTGTCAGTGCAGTTTTGAACAAAGTTAGAGCCCTAGTAAAAAAACTACGTAATCAAACTTACATGTATTTAATTAAAAAAGAAAAACTTAAGACTCCAATTCTTGATTGCTTAACAAGATGGCATTCAACCTGTGATATGTTGGAAAGAGTACAGCATTTAAAAGTGTTCATCAAAAACATGTCTGCAAATGATAAAAAGCTAAAATCATTTTGTCTAAATTCCAATGAATGGCAGCATGTCGAAACAATTTTTAAAGCTTTATTACCAGCCAAAATATGCACAAAGAATCTACAAAGTGAACAGCTTACTCTTACAGACTTTTATGGAGAGTGGATTGCATGCAAATTCAAAACTGAAGCACAAAATTCATCGTTTGCTCAAAAATTATTGCAGTTTATGATTTCCAGAGAAAAGTTCATACTCGATAATAAAGTTTTTGTTTCTGCTATCTTCTTGGACCCGCGGTACAAAATAACATTAAACGAAGAACAGTGTTTAATTTCCATAGAACATTTAATAAAAGTTTGGATTCAGTTAAACAAATTGCAGAGTGATGATAATGATAATTATGATATAGACTTAAATAATCAAACTTCTATAGATGAACATTTTGATAGCTCTGATTCGGACTCAACTGATCAAGTAGAGCAGTTCTTGAAGTCCAAGTCTACCGAGATAGAAACATTAGAAATAACTTCTTCACAGACATCTGTCATATTCACACAAATTGAAACTATACTGAAGAATTATAATATTCATCAAAAACGAATAAATTATAAAACTGATATACTCAAATTTTGGAAAAGTATGGAATATACTCATCCGGAATTGTATCAATTAGCTAGTGTTGTATTTTGTGTGCCTGCAACTCAAGTCAGTGTTGAAAGACTTTTCTCAGGTTTAAAATTTGTGCTGTCTCCATATAGAACTAATATTAGCTCCAAACACTTGGAAGACCAGTTACTGATACGTACTAACAAACTTTTTGAAAAAAAAGAAAAACGACTACAGATGTAAGTTTATAATATACAAAATGTTCAATATAATTTTTAATATTATGTTTTATGATCATTTTCACAGATCTGAATTGGAAACAAACACGTCAATCAAACGTAAAAAAAATAGATTATAATATATTGTAATATTATTAATTATTATCATTATAATTATTTGTTTTTGTATGTTTCTTAATATGGGGTCTATTCTCAAAGGTATCGAAAACAGTTTTCGATGGAAAATCAGTCGAAAAGACTGATGGTTTCGACATTTACAAAAAAGACTATTCTCAAACGGTTTTCGACTGTTAATTCGATAGTAGTTTTCGACTATTTACAACGACAGCGGATTATGAGTCGAAAACGGTTTTCGACACATAATTTCCAATTTAATTCCATTGTTAATCAGTGTTTAATATTGTTAAACTGTTAAATATATTTTATTTCATTGCCGATTTAAAATACTTTGAACTTTCTTATTCATTTTTTCTATTACCGATAATAGTTATACTAGTGTTAGTTATGGCATTTGTTGATGACGATTTAGAAATGTATATGCAATTGAATGGCATAGTAAACATGGAAATCGTCAATTTTATTGACGATAATGAACCAAGACGAATATTAAAACAAGAAGATCCTTTTGTTGGTAGGTCCAACCTTTATTATAACTAATATTTTTATAACAAAGGACAAATAGATAGTTTATTATTCATATCAATTTATTAAGCGGACTTACTAAAATCCTTTTCTTTTAATTTTATATTGTTAACTAATTTAAATTTGGAACCAAACATATTTTTTCTTTCAGAATTGTCAGATCGGAAGTTTATTGGTACTTATCGTTTAAGTAAGCAATTAGTTGAAGAACTTATAGATACATTGACTCCTTACATGAATAGTCCAATGACGTCTTCTGGGATAACTATAAAAAGAAAAGTTAGTTGCTATCTATTGATTATTGAGGATAGGCGCAACTAAGGTAACAATGCTTGTGAGGGGGGACGCTTCTTCACAATTTTGTTAAGTAATTCAGTCGATTTTTAAACAAAAAACTGTGGTGGGCTATTTGGATAACTGGGGGGACTTAGCCCTCCCCCTAGTTGCGCCTATGTTATTGAGATTAGGCACTATTAGTTTTGCTAATGACTTAGTAAATAATAATAAAAAAATATTTTCATTTAAGGTATTAACAGCTCTAAGATTTTTTGCTAGTGGGAGTTATCAGCAGGATATTGGGGAACACAGAGGCGCAGCCCTTAGTCAACCCTCAGTTAGTAGATGTATTACTGAAGTTGCAGAAGCATTAAATAATCCTATAATATTAAATAAATACATACATTTCCCAAGCACTATAGAACAACTTAACATTATTCGACAAGGGTAATTCAATTTTTTTA